CTCTTTCCCTCCCTTACACTGTATGCAAACTACCCGCCCCAGGGCAGGTGTAGCACTCACACCCATAATCCCAGCAGTGGACCATGGACCAATCAAAATCTCTAGAGGCCAGCACCATGACTGTGGGAGCCTTTGGGGGAACATGCAGACACCAGCCATCCCAGCCACCACACCCAGTTCCTTTGCCTCATTTTAACTATTTCCCTCCCGCAGAACTGTTGGGCTGCAGACGAAAGCTGCCTGGCGCATGTGCCAGCTGGTGGCAGAGCAGTGGGCCAGGGCTCAGCGTGCTCCGGAGTCCAGCGTGGGGCCGGGGGTCAGGAAGGGAGAGGGCAGCGCCGGCTCCCAGGGCTTCCTGGCTTTTGCAGGTGCAGCCTGAATCCCCATGGGATCAGTAAGTAGCGGTACTGGGATCAGAACGCAGGACATCTGGCTACAGCGCCCAGGCTTGAGGGGAAGCACGCTAGTCCCTGCTCTCTGTCTGCCGCATGTGGAGGGCTAATGCTCCGATCTTCGTAGAGAAGGCCTTATACTGTGCTGGGCGCTGAACCGGGCCTTTGTGGTGAGCTATCTCTCCAGCCCTTCTAAATTCTGCAATTTTTGAGACGTGGTCTCTCTAATTTGCTGAGGCTGGGCTCGAACATGCAATTGTCCTGCCTCAGCCTCCCAAAGCACTGGAAAGGCAGGTGTATGCCACTGTACCTGGGTTTGGGGTCTTCTGATCTGAAATCTCATCCCAGAACGGGAGGAGGTGGGGTCTCTGAGTGAGAAGGGCGGAAGTGCCTTCCTTGTGGAAGTCTGGGGCGGAGGGCGTGGTGGGCCCTGGCATTGCCACAGAGGGTAGCCCTGCCCTTGGCAAGGGGCTGGCACTGAGCTGGGCTCCAGCACCAGCTATGGGATGGATGGGGGCTGATGCCTTTCATGTCAGGGTAACCCAAGCATGTAAGGACTGCAGTTGGGCAGGGGGTGGAGGAAGAAGATGGGAATTTCCTTTCCTTTCCCCTTTTGGCTTCGGGAAGCAGCACCCAGCCTCCTGGCATGGTTTTGAGCTGCTCCTGAGCAGGTCTCCACCACCTTCTTCCACTGAGGCTGGGACTGAAGCCACCCATGCAGGGCTTGGCCCATGGCACTGGGGAGCTACCGATGGATTTCCAGGGGAGACATGACATAAAGAATTCCTTTTCTATTTTGTGGGGGTCTCATGGTGTAGTCTATGCTGGGCTCAAATTTGCAGTGATCCTCCTGCTCCAGCCTCCCGAGTGCTGAGATAGCAAGCGTGTACCACCACGCCCAGCTCATGTGGCCTGGGCCTTCTGCTGCCCCAGTCTTGGCTTTCCCTCTGACCTCTGACCTCTGATCTCTGGCCCTTGGCCACTGGCCTCTGCTTTGATTTTCACTGCCTGGCCCGGGTTGGGGCCCCTGTTCCGGCTGAGCCAGGGCTGGTTCTGTTCCAGTGGCATGGTGATGTCCAGGCCTCAAAAATGGGCACCGTAAAGCCTGAGAGCAGGCATTGCCGTGTTAAAGCCACATGGGAGCTGTGAGGGTCACAGACGCCCGGGGTCTGCCATGGGGAGTGCAGGCTCGGCTGACGGGGAGAGGACCCGAGTGATGGGGGCCATGGGGCGTGGGGAGTCAGAGGACTGCTGGGGGTTCTGTGCCTTAAGAGACTGCGGTGTCACCGTTCAATAGGAGGCTCTGTGAAGTTGCCACCTGGGAGACGAGAGGGGCCTGTCTTTTCCTGAGCAAGTCCCTGGTTCCCAGTCCAGCGGGACTCTGTGTGGGCTGAGGGGCAGCTTCCCTCCTGCTGCCCCGCACCGTCCACCCATCACGCTCTCATCTGTTAGCCATCAGTCCGTCCGTGCAGTCTCTCCCCTAGTCATCCATGCATTCATTCACCTGTGCGTCATCCGCCCATCCATCCATCCGCCCATCCATCCATCTACCTACCCATCTAAACTCATAATTCATCCAGTATCTATTCACCTGTCCATCCATCCATCCATCTATCCACCTACCCATCTATCCATCCCATCCATCCATCTAACCTCTCATTAATTCACCCATCATCTACTCACCTATTCATTCATCTGTCCATCCATCCATCCGTCCATCCATCCGTCCATCCATCCGTCCATCCACCCATCCTTCCGTCCATCCGTCTATCCATCCATCCGTCCGTCCATCCATCCATCCATCCATCCATTCATCCAGTTTCTTACCTATTCATCCATCCATCCACCTACTCACCTGTTCATCCACCTATCCATCCATCCACCAATCTGTCATCCACCTGTCCATCTACCCATCCATTCATCCTTCCATCCACACATCTATTTCTTTTTCTTAACTACGAGCTGTTGAGCCCTCTCCTAGCTAGATCCGGAGCTATAGCTGGTTCCTGCCCTTGGTGCTCAGCCTGGGGAGGAGACAGTGACAAGGGACTTCCAGCAGAGGTGGAAGGTGCCGAGCTAGGGAGCCGGAGAGGGCAGTGGGCACCCTTCCCTGGGCGGGGAGTGCAGAGAGGAGGGAGAGTTGCTAAACGACTGCCCACAGCTTTTGGAGAAGGTCCAGCTTCCTGTCCGATCAGCCTCCTGCTGCCCTGTGGGTCTCAGTGTAAACGCCACCTCCTTGGGGAAGCTGTCTCAGGCCCCGAGGCCGGGTTCCCTGTTATCTGCTTTTTGGATCCCGCGTGATTGCTGGCACCTGTCGCAGCTCAGGGGAGGTCGATAGTGGGTCACCTGTGCTAGGTTTCTGTCTCCCTGGGTCTGGCTCCCAGCTGGGACTCGCCCGAGCTCTGCGTGGACGCGGACTTCCTGAGGACATGGGGGGCGGGGTGGGGTGAGGAAGAGTGCGGCTGCGTCCTGGTCGCCTGCCTTGGGGGTCAGGCTCAGCGCTGGGAGGGTGGTGATCAGGAACCCCGGGGAGGGCGTCTGGCCGCGCTGGGCCTGGCACTATTTAGGGACTCTCTCAGTGCTGATGTAATGAAAACATTCCTTGCCGAAATAGGAATTTAGCTCATTTTCCTGAGACGGCGCATGCACACACAGGCACGCACACACATTTTGTTTGTTTTGTTTTTTGGTGGTGCTGGGGATTGAACCCAGGGTCTTGAACGTGCTAGGCCAGCACCCTACCACTGAGCTACATCCCCAGGCCCGTAAGATGGCTGACAGAGGTGAGGCCTACTGGGCACTCCTTACTGGGGGCGACCTTGTAGCTCGGCAACACCTTCTGCTGCAGGCCTCACAAGACCCGCCTCTCAGAGGCTTAAGTCAGAAAGGCCACCTACAGTTTACCTAGAAAAGAAGGGCAAGGGCACTGTTTACAGAGCCTATTCAGCTACAAGTTCAGGGTGAGAGCTTGGGTTGGTCTCTGTGAGTCTTGTGGTCCATCCTTCATGGTCACAGATGGCTACTCTGCTCCATGTCCCACTCTCAAGGTCCCAACATGGCTGCCAGAGCTCCGGGCTGTGTGTCTTCTCCAGACCACATCCTCAAGTGGGGAGGGAAAGCATATGTATGTGAGATGGATGGGGTAAGGGAGGTGAGTACTCTCCTCTCCTCTGAGCTGTTCCTCTTGGTAGCAGGGAGGAAAGGATCTCCGCAAAGCCCTAGGAGACTTTTTCTTAGATATCATTAGCCAGGACATGATCACATGACCTCTTCTAGCTGCAAGGGAGGCTGGGCAAGTAAGAATATGGCTGGCGATGGGAGCCTCAGTGATGGAGGCAGATGAGGGAGAGAGGGCTTGGGGATGACTGGAGAAAGCTACCTTCAGAGCTCCTTTCTCCAGGAGGTGACCTAGCTCACCCTTTCAGGCTAACCCCAAATATCACCTCTTCTGTGAAGTCGGCTTCCCCTGCCTTGGGGTACCTGAGCGGCACATGATGTGACAGGAATCCCCTCCTCCCAACATGAATGCTATGGGAGGCCAAAGTGTGCGTGCCCTACAGATTCACGCATTCTCAGGAGGCCTGTTTCCCAAGGTGGGACACTGTCCAGCCCCCTCGCCGTTGTGTGCGGTCCCCAGTGGACCATGTCCAGTGTTTTGTGTTCTTTTTGATGCTATCCTTGCACTCTACAGCTTCCTCCCCTGGATTACACTGAGGGCAGGTGGATCCTCACAGTCAGTCTCGAGATGGCGGCCCTTGGTCACGTCACCTGAGGGACCATACTGCCCTCCTCACCCTTTGGCTTCTTTGAAAGCTCTTCCCTTTCCTTTTTCATCTCATTTTTATAAAGTCAGAGGAAATCCAACACATTTTGAGGGCCAGGCATGGAAGCATAAACCTGTAATCCCAGCACACAGGAGGCTGAGGCTGCTATGCATTCTAGGTCAGCCTGGACTGCACAGCGAGACCCTGTCTCACATGTTTTGATAGTTCCCACTAATAATCACTTCAGTCAGAGATCCCCCATCACTGGGCCGTGACGGGAGGGCCTGGTGTGGTGGGAAGCCCTTTACTACCTCTACCTCTTGCACCTTGCTGGTTGAAACTCTGAGAAGTTGCCTCATGGTCAAGGTCACCAGCTCTAGGGCCGGCTCTGCACGGTCTAAATATGAAACATCCCTCTCTAAGGCTTGGTCTTGGTGCAACAGTGTTTAGAGATGGGGATTAGAAAAGTAGGTGGGTCGTGCAGGCACTGGCCTTCGTGATGGCCTGCTGAGTTTGTAGCTGAGCGCTCTCAGGAGGCAGGGCCAGCTGGAGGGCACCCGTGCGAAGGGCAGTCCCGTCTCCAGTGTCTTCCCAGCTCCCTGGTTCAGGCCTGCTCTCTGCTCCCTGGTCACCATGAGTTGAGCCGCTTTGCTCCACCAGACCCTTCCACCATGCTGTTCATGGACTGAGCCTTCTTTAACCGTGAGCCACAGTAAACCTTTTCTTCTTGAAACTGTAACAGGTATTTTGTTCCAGCAAAGGAAATGTGAGCAGCACACGCCCTGGGTGTCCCCATGGGGGCTGTGTGCACTGGGGCCCTCGCCCTTCCCAGCCCCTTTGTGTCTCCAGCCAGGGAGTGACCTGTGTCTCTTCTGGACTGCAGCACAGAGAGACAGCACCAGGCTGTCACCAAGAAGGCCGCCTGCTCCAGATGCAGAGCTACGAGATGCTGGAGCCCCTGGCTGGGTGCCTGGGCGGCCTGTGGAGCTCGGCAGTGGTCATGTGGCCTCAGGGAGGGACTGTTGTGTCACATTGGTGCATGAGGTCTAAGGAGTTCTTTCTGCAGCGGTACCAGCCTGGCCTGGTGAACACAGCCCTCTCCTGTTGCCAGACACCTACAGCTGTGTGGGAGAAGATGGTGGGCACTGTCTCCTGCCCTGTGGGCCCCCCCTCCCCCTCAAGGTGCTCACGGCTGTTTCCTGTGACAGCCCCAGGCATGGCCTGCTGCGCAGGAGATTCTTGGTGGCGCCAATCTGGCCTCTTGTCCGCGTCTGGCTCTGGACAAGCCTAGCTCTGGGCTGGCATGGGGCAGCCCCCTACTCTGCCGGGCCTTTCCCAACCTGGCAAGCCATGCAGAACCTGCGCCCAGCTGGGGCCCTCCGTGGGCACCCTCTGGAGCCAGACACTGCTACAAAAGCCCAGCCGCTGCTGGGAGGGTGGAGGGACATCTGTGCCTGCTGGCCCTGGTGCCTCGGCCAGCTCCAGAGGCCTGGCTGGCAGGAATGTGGCGTGTGGCCCACTCAGCCCCCTCTACCACCTCTCACCCTGGCATCCTGCTCGGGCCTGTGCCCCAGCATCCCCTGTGCCAGTGCAGGTTGCTTCCCGCCTGCTGGACAGCCTGGCTCCTGCCTCCCACATTGGATGCTTCCCTGCCCCCACAAAGGGCTCTTGGTCACACTCCTTCCTCCTTTGCACCCTGCCACCTTGGCGTGAGCGTGTCACCTGGCTGTGTACCTGCTGGTACCACTCCCGAGGTGAGCCCTGTCGTGGCACAAGCTGTCTCTTCTCTCAGCCGTATGGGGGCGAATGCATGGCATCCACTCTGCTCGGGAAGCTGCACCTGCTCCACCCTGCTCCCGTGACGTGCTGGCTCACTCTGTGCAAGCTTGGTGATCACCCCACAGGTTTACAAAGTCATTGTTATTTGTATAAGCACTGGGCTCAGTTCCTTTCTTCAGATAAGAAAACTGAGGCCACCGGGGTTGGGGTCCTGTGGACAGTGTGACCAGCAATTCTACTTCTTTGTTTATTTGCTTGTGTTTTGAGACAGGATCTCACTATGAGATTGTGTTTTGAGGATCTCACTATTACAGGCTGGCTTTGAACTCACTATGTAGTCCAGGCTGGTTTCAGACTCATAGAGATCCTCCTGCCTCAGCCTCTTGAGTGCTGGGATTATAGGCCTGTACCACCATGCCCAACTGTGACTGGCACTGCTTGGATGTGCAGTATTCTGAAGACTGTGAAGTTCACTCTCACATCCTTTCAAACCTCCCTTTGCCACCTATGGGACACACGGGGACCAGTGAGAAGCACCTTGCTGTCCCCTGTGGCTCAGCATCCTATGGGTGGGGCCGTTGGGTGCTCAGCATCCTCAGAGCTGTGGTTCCCAGGGACAGGAGTGGCCTCGCTCAGCGACCAGGCAGAAACAGGGGTATCTGGGTAACAAGGCTGTTGCAGGAGCCTTTCTAGTTCTGCGCCTCTTCCATGAACAGGGCTCAGCTCCCACAGCCTTCTGGGGTCTGGTGCCCTGAGGTAGGGCTCACAGCCCAGCGTACAGATGTCCCAGCTGTGTCCGCAGAGGGCCAGGCTCAGGTTGGGGCCCCTCCCAGCTCCCCCCAACACCCGCAACTGGGGCTCTTTTCCGATGTCAGAGGAGTCCTGGGCCTGTCTGGAGCTGGCTGGCTGCAGTGCCAGCCTCTCTCCCTGCGCGGGGAGCGTGACATGCAGAACAGGCATGCGGCGGCCCGATTGTCATTAATCGGATCTAAAGGGTTTCTATTTTCTCCCTGCACGCTGATTGATCCAGGCGAGGTAAACAGCACCGCCAAAAATGGAGGGAGGGGGGTGCTGCCGAGGGAGCCGGGATAACTAATGTCACTTGACATTTACTCAGCGAGCACAAAGCAGGAGGTGAGTCACCGGCCGGGCCTCAGCCCACAGACTTTGCGGAAGGGAGCAGCCTCAGGCAGACAGGCGGGAGAGAGAGTGGGAGGCCTCCGAAAAGCTCCAGTCTCCCCAGTTTCACAGGCTTCAGGGACCCCTGGGGTTCGCCATTCCCCGGAGGAGAGGGTCTCTGTGTCCGTCGATGCTTCGGCCGTGGTGGGACCCCTGAACCCCGTCAGGTCGGGAGCAGGGAGCATGCAAGAGGCGCAGGGTGCCTGGTGCCGTTCCCTGCCCCTTTTCTCCAAAGAGGGGCCCTGCTGCTTCTACCTGCCTGTTTCCCAACTTGGTGCCGCCTGCTCTGTGTTGGCCTGGGAATCTCAGACCAAGAGGCAGGTGAGGTGAGCAGCCTTGCTCTCTGCACCAGCGGACAGGAGCAGCCCCGGCCGCCCCGTCACCACCCACCGTAGCCCCACTGCTGCAGGCGGATCCTCCCTGCATTCAGTCAACGAGCAAATGCAACACCTGCCATCAGCCTGGTCTTCACGTCATTAGGAGGCGGGGTCTGGTCGGGAGAGGCGGAGCCAGGGCGTGGCCTGACAGCAGGGGCGGGGCTTGTCCTGCTGGGCGTGGCCAGGAAGAGGTCATCTCGCTCCCTGGCTCCCCGCTTCCCACTGTGCTTCCTGTCTGCACTGCCCTGAGCAGTTCTACCCGGGCCTCTCCACGGGCCGCCCTGCTTTGGAGCCGGCCGCCTACGGACCGAAACCTCTGCAGACTGTGAGCCGGAATGCAGCTCTGCTCCGGCAGGTTGCAGGTGCCAGGGGCCGTGTCTAGGACCGCCACCTTGCTGGTCTTCCTCTTCCCGTCCCGACCCGGAGGGGCCGACGGTGCCCGCGCCCCCTCAAAGAGGAGCACCTACGGGGCACGCCTCCTTCCTCCGGGCTGCGCCTGCCCGGCTTGCCTCTGCTTGCTCGGACCTACCCTTCCCGCTGGTTGCGTCTCCGAGGGGTGCTTCCCGCCGTGCAGATTCGAGAACTAGAACCGGTGCCCGGCCTCGCCTCCGTCCGCAGACACAGCCGGACACCCTGTCGGCCGGTTCGGCCTCCCCCACCCTCCGATCTGCCCACTGTGCTTCCTGCCTGCCTCCGCTGCCCGCTGCAGACCGCAGCCATCCCTGCCCTGGCCGGTTCTGTTTCTGTCCACTGTGTTCCTCTGTCACGGGGTGAGGGTCTCGTGCCCCACAGTACGGTACTTTCCACGGCTCCTGGTTTCCATGGTTGCCGGGGAAGTCAGCTGTCAGTCTAACCAGCTCCCCTTGAGCGCCATTTGGCTCCCCCTCAGTGGTTTTAGGGATGTTTTGTCCTTGCATTTAGTTTTCTACAGCTGTACTGCGATGGATTGAGGTGTATGAGGTGTGTGGCTTTGCTTTTTTTCAAGTACTGGAGATTGAACCCAGGGCCTTTGCACTGAGCTACACCCCCAGCCTTTTATTTATTTTTTAAAATTTTGAGAACCTGAGGCAGGGAGGAATGCAAGTCTGGACCTAGCCTGGGCAATTTAGCAAGGGGGAAGGGAGGGGGGAGGAAGGGGAGAGGAAGGGGAGGGTTCTCTCCTCTCCCCTCCCCTCCCCCTCCCTCCCCTTGCCTTCCTCTCCCCTTCCTTCCCCACTCCCCTTCCTCTTCCCCTTCCTTCCCCTCTCCCCTCCTTTCCCTCTTCTCTC